TGTAATAAATATGGCAATGTTTTGAGGACAATAGTCTAAATAATGTAAATAGTGTACATAATACTTCATTTCAGAAATATAGACAGATATTGAAAGGCGTAAACGTGGGAATAAATATGGCAACAAAGATGAGGACAATAGTCCGAATAATGTAAATAATGTACATAATACTTCATCTCAGAAATATAGACAGATACTGAAAGGCCAAAACATTGTAATAAATATGGCAACAAAGATGAGGACAATAGTCCGAATAATGTAAAAAGTGTACATAATACGTCATCTCAGAAATATAGACAGATACTGAAAGGCCGAAACGTTGTAATAAATATGGCGACAAAGATGAGGACAATAGTCCAAATAATGTAAATAGTGTACATAATACCTCATCTCCGAAATATAGACAGATACTGAAAGGCCGAAACGTTGTAATAAATATGGCGACAAAGATGAAGACAATAGTCAGAATAATGTAAATAGTGTACATAATACATCATCTCAGAAATATAGACAGATATTGAAAGGCTGAAACGTTGTAATAAAAAAAATGGCGACAATGATAAGTGTCTGTTGCGAAACATGGACAGATTGAAGGTCTGTTGCGAATTTGACCTCATCGGATCTATCAGACTCACAAAATTTATCCCACAAATTATATTGGCGGACTCATTACGAGTCCAGGTAAAAATGAGTAACAAAGAACAATAAATATGAAACAAACGGTAATGAATGTATTTACAAAAAGGAATTAGATGGGATTAATGGAAAAAAAACATGAAACTAGATCTAATAAGAATGTACTTGTTTGTACGAGCCCACATACGTGTGTGTGTGTGTGTGTGTGTGTGTGTGTGTATGTGTGGACTGTCCAAGGGTACACAGTAACTATTTTATTATATTAGATATTGTCTTAGCATAAAAATTCTTTGTAAAAGCGAACAGCTCTGCGGCAGTCTGGTAAAAAATGAAGTCTAACATAAAATGCATGCGAAAAAGCGTTACTCCATGCAGAAACATTGAAATTCAACGATGTTTCATGAATGTTTTTGGTAAGCAAACAATGGGTGTAAGCACAGTGATACGATGGCTAAATGCGTTTTTGTTGTGGTATATGTTACAGTTTTTGTGTATATATGTCGGAATAACTCGTGAGTTAGTCAAAATGACTTAATTCCCTTTATAGTCTACCAATAGAAGATTAACCAATCAGAAGCCGCAGAACATTGTATCTGTCGTGTATAAAGGCGGCCATTTTTTTTTTTTTCTACCCGAATGACAAGTGCCAACTTGTCCGGCGAAGATGAATAAGGAAGAAGACGCTTTTCTACTTTGCTCCGAAATATTCACTGATAACCTCTGGATTCTATACTCGAAACGACCGTGGAAATGTCTAACAGTATATGCTTAAAAGAAGGATACAGCCGCAGATCGTTTTAATTAGAGCCGCAAGCAGATTATGCGTAGGCAATTGTGACGAAACTTTGTGGAGGGAAAAATAGTATTTTCAAGCGGATATAATACACTCTGCCTATACAGAGTTTCAGCTGTCTGCCGTGGTTTCAAGAGTGGGGATGATGGATACGAAGCATTGGTTTCAAAGAAGAGCTCATTGATGCAATTAATTTAATGTAATCAGTAATTTAAGACAGACGCGTAATGTTTAATTCTCATCAGATTAAACAGAATTGATTTGGTAAAATAAAGGGGTAAGGGTCCAACTTCAATCTATGGATGCTCATTTGACATTAAATGATAAAGTCTGGAGATGAATTAATTAATGTCGATATGGTTTTATCAAGATTATCAAATCAATTAAGTTTTCTGCCTTTATGAAAAATTAGACTTCAAGGGTTTCCAGGAGATTCAGAGTTTTAATGAGGTTTAATTGCTTTCTTCTTTTCATCACCATCTCTCCTCTCTCTCACGTTTTCTCTTTCTTTCTGTCTCTCTCTCTCTCGCTCTCTCCCTATTTTTGTATGTGTGTCTGTCTCTCTCGCTCTCTTTTTCCCTCTCTCTCTCTCTTTCCCTATATATATATATATATATATATATATATATAACAGCAATCACTCTTTTATACAATTTTCATTAAAGAGGACTGACAAGATACTGCGATTAAGCTTTTTATTCAAAGTTTTCTTTTCTGGATATACAGTGTGAAAAAACTGGGTATCTACTAAAAATAACGTTTAAAGTCACAATACATCCATACATACATACATACATATATATATATATATATATATATATATATATATATATAGATAGATATATAAAAGATATATATACATATATATATATATATATATATATATACATTCCTTTTTATTTAAATATTTGAATCTAGAAAAAAAATGTATAAACATAAAAATGTCTTAAAATAATCGTCCATTTCATAATATATATGTATATATCTGTATCTATATATATATATATATATACAGTGGGGGCTAACAAATATTCTTAGACATACAATTTTTCAAGTTATTGTATTTACAACTAATGAATAACTATACTTTTCTCATAATTAACTGTACACAGATGAAATTTAATAGAAAACAATTGATTTAATTGAAATTTAATAGAAAACAATTGATTTAATTGAAATTTAATAGAAAACAATTGATTTAATTGAAATTTAATAGAAAACAATTGATTTAATTGAAATTTAATAGAAAACAATTGATTTAATAGAAATTTTATAGAAAACAATTGATTTAATAGAAAATTTTAAAAGGATAAATTGGATTTATTTCTTTTAAATAATTTTTTTTTCAATACATATTTAGTTATTATGCATGTGTCTACAGCTAATTATATGAAAACAACCAATTCTCCCCATATATATATATATATATATATATATATATATATATATATATATATATATATATATATATTAAAGCAAATGTTTATAAATTCGTTTTATTTTTAAATATTTGTATCTAGGAAAAAATGTGTATAAACATAAAATGTCTTAAAAATAATCGTCGGACTTTGTCCATTTCATAATATATATATATATATATATATCTATCTATCTATCTATCTATCTATCCACCCATTACATATATATATATATATATATATATATATATATATATATATTGAGGAATATCAGCAATATATTTATATCTACATATATGTACATATATATATATATATATATATATATATATATATATATATCAAAAATTTTTGAAAAAAACAAAAATCCATAAATGTAGTTAAAATGAAAAAATTGTCAATTCTTTTCATTTTAACTACATTTATGGATTTTTAAGTTTTTAAAATTTCTACATTCTGTCAATTTATATCCATTTACACTTTATATATATATATATATATATATATATATATATATATATATATATATATATTTCATTAAGAAATAATGAACCGATTACATGACTCATTACTTCCGTTCTCAGGCATCGTCATGGAATGAACTAGCGACCATTTGAAAGAGGAGTTTTTTAAGTTTTTAATGGCTGCTACAGGGGCGCTGTAGTCGCATCATATCTCTGACAACGTTCAGTTGTTTGTTTACGGCGCGAATGGCGAGTCGTCAGCAAAAGGCTTTCCGCGCTTCCTGCGTTTGGGAAAACAAATACGGTTGTCACGGTGCAGCGGGCCTTTCGAAAGCAATTCGACATTAATCCGCCCACTCCTAAGAACATTTGACGAGGGTTTCAAAACATCCAAGTGAGTCGGTGTCTGTGTACAGGAAGACGCCCGGGACGGCCACGAGTTTCGGAGGAACAAGTGGCGAGAATCCGTACTGCTTTTGAGGAGAGTCCACTGATGTCCACACATCGAGCGAGGCGTGAGCTTGGTGATCTCTCCATCCAATATCTGGCGTGTGCTCAGAAAACGTCTACATTTGAAACCTTACAGACTACGCCTCGTCCAGGAACTTACCAAGACCTTGCTCTTTGTACTTGCCCTCCGAGATCCCCAGACCTCACCGTGTGTGATATTTTTCTTGTGGGGATACGTAAAAGATCTCGTTTACGTCCCACCTCAACCCACTAACCTCGATGACCTTAAACATCGAATAACAACAGCGATCAACTCAGTCTGATACGCGTCTGGGAGGAATTCTTTCATCGCATTGATGTTGACCGTGCTACAGGTGGTGGCCACCTTGAACACTTGTAAGACATGAAATAAAAGTTGACTGTCAGTAGAATACTTGTGATTTGTATGAAGTTTTCTATTGCTTTACTGTTATGGGGTCCACCACTTTTTCATACAAATGTACTACTGTCGGTGAATACCCGGAAGTCGGAAGTGAGAGTGTGAGGTAACCGCTTTGTAGGAGTCACAGTTGCGAGCACGTAGACTCAGAGGGAAGTCATACTTCGATACTGAATTTCCCAGACTGTATATATATTATTATTGCTACTAACCTCATTTCTGGATCTACTAACCGTATTACCAATTGTATTATTACGTCAATACATTTATTTGCTATATTTCATTCCTGAGTTTGTCATTCATTTTGAGACCGGATTTCATCCCGGAATCCACAACATTTATCTTATTAAAATATTGCATAATAACTTTTTTTCATTCTTTTTTTTTAATAAAGCTGTATTGCTATATGATACGCATTCGGCAGCGAAATTCGAGAGAAATTATCTTGCATGTAATATGCAGTAATTTAACCATAATTTAACATTTTTCTAGTTATTTTCATCCAGTTCGTATCATATGAAAAAATAGAACTTGTATAACTTAAAATATGATTTGAGGCACGACGTTTTCCGTGTGTTTTGTCCCAAATGCAGATATGTTCACGTGAAAATCCAACAACCGGAATTGTTCGTTTTGTTTCAATTACTCTGCACGGGAGAATAGATAGATAGTTAGATGGGCATGAAGAGATTGAGATAGATAGATAGATAGATAGATAGATATGAAATAGATATATACATAGGTAGATATGAGCAGACTGAAATTAAATAGATAGATAGATAGATATGAGCAGACTAAAATTAGATAGATAGATAGATAGATAGATAGATAGATAGATAGATAGATATGAGCAGACTGAAATTAGATAGATAGATAGATAGATAGATAGATAGATAGATAGATAGATATGAGCAGACTGAAATGAAATAGATATATACATAGGTAGATATGAGCAGACTGAAATTAAATGTATAGATAGATAGATAGATAGATAGATAGATAGATAGATAGATAGATAGATAGATAGATATGAGCAGACTAAAATTAGATAGATAGATAGATAGATATGAGCAGACTAAAATTAGATAGATAGATAGATAGATAGATAGATATGAACAGACTAAAATTAGATAGATAGATAGATAGATAGATAGATAGATAGATATGAGGAGACTAAAATTAGATAGATAGATAGATAGATAGATATGAGCAGACTAAAATTAGATAGATAGATAGATAGATAGATAGATAGATAGATAGATATGAGCAGACTGAAATTAAATAGAAAGATAGATAGATATGAGCAGACTAAAATTAGATAGATAGATAGATAGATAGATAGATAGATAGATAGATAGATATGAGCAGGCTGAAATGAAATAGATAGATAGATAGATAGATATGAGCAGACAAAAATTAGATAGATATATACATAGGTAGATATGAACAGACTGAAATTAAATAGATAGATAGATAGATATGAGCAGACTAAAATTACATAGATAGATAGATAGATATGAGCAGACTGAAATTAGATAAATAGATAGATAGATAGATAGATATGAGCAGACTGAAATGAAATAAATATATACATAGATAGATATGAGCAGACTGAAATTAAATAGATAGATAGATAGATAGTGAGTGAGTGAGTAAGTGAGTGAGTGAGTGAATGAATGATTGAGTGAGAGAGAAAAAGAAATATACGAATCAATTAATTTGCTCAAGGGTTTTTACTCAATTTTTCTAGCGTTCGTTAAAGTCTTTTACATTTCTGGTCAGAAAATGTGTAAAAACTGTCCAAATATTCTATATAGCACTTCGCTTATTTTTTTTCATTTTTTTTTTAAACTGATTATCTAGATTTTTATATATGTGTGTCTATAAATATGGGAACATATTTATTTTTATTTTCTAAACACCGTTTGCACGTTGTAGCTGCTGATGTAATTGATTGTCTTTATTCCTTGTTCATTATTCATGCTTCCATTATGATGAGCGGATTTCTACATGTGGACATTTCCTTGCCAATTTCAT